AAATAAGCAAATTGTTCAGATTTTTTTCCATTAAAATCTGATAATTTCATTCAAGATTCTTCAGTAAATATAGCACCTGTTCAATAAAAACGTTGACGAATCTGTAATAGCTGGTCCTCAATGTCAACATATGAGAATTAAGGCCAATGTACAGGAACATTTTTGATGTGGAAAGCTTGCTATGGAAGTGGTTCTTATGTGACCCTATTGCTTGGAACTTTTATTATTATCAGGATGATAATATTTTTAGAAATCAATCTCTATTCAGCTTCTCTTATGCTATATGTTACCGTTTGATGCAGATAAGATGTATTTGCAACATACCCTGCAACCTTTCACACATGAAAACTGTGTGGCCAAGCAACATCAGAGTGTAGTCAAGATGGCATAATTGATAAGGAACAACACACAAGCTAGGAGAGGCTACAACAATTTGTTTTTGTCTGAGTGTACAGGAAAGGACAAGATTATGTCCCTTCCTGTCCTCTCCTCTTATTGAGTTAATTGAGTACGAACTGTTTTTGCACTTTGAACTCAGTCTGCAGCCACTGAAATAAACTGAGGACAAAAAGAAAAAGTGGGAGGAAGAGGGAGAAACTGGGATATTTTAAAAGCAGCTGAAAAAGTGGGACAACAGAAGATTAATTGGGACTGTCCCAGACCAATTAGGACAGTTGGAGAGTGTTGCATTACCAACTTGTAGTATGATTCATGCAGCTGTTTCATTCACAGTATGAGAATCCAATCAATTCAGAAGCCTCTACAAATTTTTAAAAAACCCATAGAGGAGGTAAATCCAAATGCTTTATTGAACCAGTCCTCATGTTTTAAATGAGAATACACTCTGTTGCTGGGGAGGAGGTCTGCGCCTTTAACAGCTGTGTGACAAGAGAAGCAGGAATCCAGCATAACAAGTTTTTCCTGGAGTTCTCCTTGTTCTGCAGATATTAAATGCATGCAGGGGTCAAACTAATGTTGGCCCTCAGAACAAAAGTCCAGAGCCCTAAAGCCCAGAGAGCCTTCAGAAAGCAGCAGGGATCGGGCCAGCAACAAATAGGCCCAGCACCAGCATCCATAGATATGGCAAAACCTGCAATGCCACAGCATGTCCTTCATGTTTTAGTTTTTTAAAAATAGCATTTTATAATAAGGACGATATTGGTATATAACAGGTCCTAATTTTATAATTTTTATTTTAAACATATCTTTTTCAGTGAGTGTTGTTAATTCCCAGGTAAATTTGTGTGGCATAAAAAGGATGCCATGTTCTCTTTTCCTTTTGTTTTTTAATCTTATAGGTCAACCACTTACCTGATTTATTAGCATTTTCAAAATATTTTTGTTTTGAATATTTAATATTATTTGCTATTTGATGTGTAATATTTTGGTTTAGCTGGTTTTTTAATATTTGTACTTTTTGATAGGCTTGTGATTTTTAAAATTCTTTGGTGATTTTTTAAAATTCTTGTTCTCTTTCTTTTAGATGTTCCATTATAACTTTTTCTTTTTCTTGCACTGCCCTTTTTTTCCTTTTTTTTTTATAACAGGTCCTAATTTTATAATTTTTATTTTAAACATATTTTTTTCAGTGAGTGTTGTTAACTCCCAGGTAAATTTGTGTGGCATAAGAATGGCATTAGGGGATTCCAGCAGTAGGAAATTTTATTCCAGTAGTCATGGTGGTGCTATGATTTAGGGACTTTATCACATGAGACAGTACATTAGAATTAAAGCAGGATATTAGTATACTTGGCCAATACTTATCACACAATGCCATGTCTATTCAGCTGCTGCTTTGCATTTCCTTAATTTCTGTAGCGCACCTTTTCACTGATGGGGAAAACCCATCAATAGGCTTCTAATATCACTCCCATTCCATTAATCTTCCTGGTGTGATAGGTCCCTTCTGTGGCAGTAACAATTAAGACCAGTCATTTGGCATGATTTTCCTCTTCTCCCTGCCCCCTCTTGCTATTACCAAGCAGACTGGGGTCCTTTTTACTCTGTGCCTTTCGGGTTTTTTAATTATTATTATTATTATTATTTTTTATTGCTGTGATTACATAAATACAGCAAAAATAAAATTACTCCAAAAGGATTGGAGTAAAAACCTTGGCAAAGACATGCATGTGCTGAAAAGCATGGAAGATGGGGTTACAGAGCCAGTGCGGAAGGGACCACAGGTTGCCAAAGCAGTACACTCACACAACTGAAGAGAAGTCTGATACTGAACATTTTTAAAATGGTATGTTCCCATTTGCATCACTAACATGACTGCTGCAAGAAAAAAAAAAGCTGGTGTGATAAAGTCTTAAGTGAGCTTAAAATGCAAAAAGATGCATGTTTGATACAGGTTTTTTTAATTGACTGACAAACAGGATGTGTTTTTGGGTTGTTTCTTTTGCTATTACATCACAAATGTAGTAGTAGAATTAAACACTGGAACAGCAGAGGAGAGATTACATATTTTAGTTATGTACTTTACAACGGAAATTATACACATCTATGTAAAGGGGCTCTTTGTAAAACCATTAAGTTCACAATTGTCTCATTGCACAACTGAAGAGCTCTGCCTGGATAAAAGTCAGCAGTCTACAAGATACAAGCCTGGTTTTCTGGAGGCAGTGACCCTGGTTTTCTGGGGGTAGTAGTGAGAGGTCATACATACATTTACTTATTCACTACCTCATTGTTGCATGTATCGGACTTAATACCACATTTGCTAGGAATCTAGAAGGACTGTGTCTTTTCCCTTTATATTTGGCCTCTGCTGATAATGTAAGAAGGAAGTAGAGAGAAAGGAACCTAACAGTATCCTTAAGACTAACTGACTTATTTATTTCTCTATTTATTGGTTGGCCAATAAAGATATCACTGATGGATTTTGTTTGAATTTGCTAAATGGCCAACACAGTTACCTCTGAGTGTTTGCTAATTTATTTGAGCATGTGTTTCTCTTAATTT